AAAAGTTGCAGATTCGATCCCCATTCGGGGCACAGATGGGAGGCAACTGATTTGTGTTTCTCACATCAATATTTCTTTTTCTCTTTCCCACCCACCCCCTTTCTCTCTAAAATCAATAAACATAATCTCAGGTGAGAATTTTTTTTTTAATGAGATTTTCAAACCAGGTGACTTGGAACATTTTACAGTATACCATTCAGTTTAAAAGCAGGGCATAGAAGTGTATATGCATCACCTTAATCCCTGATAAAAAAAAAAAAAACCTGTAGTGAAACAGATCAGTAAACACCTGCAGCAGTGCCGTAGGCCCAGTAGCCCCCCAAGCACCAACCACCAGCAGGGTCTTCACTGAGCATCACGACACAGTTGCTCATGTGTTGGGGAGAACAGGACAGACACAAAAACATTACGACCTGAAGAGCGTGGTGTCATGGGAAGAAGGGGTTGTTCTTTGGGTCTAAAGCTGCAGAGCTCAAGCCCCTGAGGAGAAAGATTTTTTCGCCAGATCTGGGGAGGGCAGAACCACGTGAACCAGCCCAATGGTGCAGACAAAGCCCCGCTGGGGAGGACCAGATGGCCACACAGTCCAGCTTGGCCCTGCAGGAGATGGGAGGGAGTGGAGAGGCCTTGCTTTCATAATTATTTTTTTGTAAGAGAGTATTTGCTATATAACCTTTCAATTTTATTTTTAACAAAATTGTAAATGTACATGGTTTTCAAGTCAAAGAATTCCACAAAGCTTATGGTGAAAACAGTGTTTCCTTCCACAGGCATCTCTCTTGATTCTTGTCCCCTCTTTTGGTATTTCTCTCCACATTTCTAATTCCCAGGTTCAGTTCGCTCTTCTTGACTTTACAGTCTGTGTCATCCACCAATTTCCTGCTATGAACATGAAAATTAACCCTTGGAGCCACCCACACACCTCTGCCCACTGTGGTCTGACCCTCAATCGTCATCAGTACATACTGTCAGGACATGTGCATGGGAGCTCTGTAACCTTATTCCTCCTCTTGCTACATACCCCTCTTGTGCTTCCTAGAGTGAATAAGGGTTTTCTGAGTGTCCTGTGTACTTACGTTAATTTATCTCCAAACTCTCAGGCAGGGATCACTCAAACACAGCAGGGAACAGCCTGCTCCACTCACTCAAGTCCAAGAGTCCATCCCAGGTTTCCATTGTTCTGGGGAAACAGGGCAGGAGCTAGCTTCACTTTCTGTTTAGAATAGCCCCTTCTGCTGTTCCCGAAGACTCCACTCCACTCTTCAGGGGAGACTGGGGAAGGGACTGTCAGGCTTGCTGGGGGAGGGGGATGAGAGTCTGACTGCTTTTTAAACAGGCTTTCCATCAATTTCCTATTTCAGCCCTATTTTTATTGCTGCCTCCCTCCACCCCCCACCACCACCCAGTTTTCAGAACCAGTCCTGAGACTTGGTGGAGGGGGTAACTGTTTGCAATGCTGTACATTCACCTCCCAGGCCCCCCAACACACACACACACACACACACACACACACACACCCGACACACACACACACAGCTTTCTGTTTTTCAAATCTGCTAGTCCCCTCTGTTTGTCCATCTGCTTCTCAAATTTTCCAAATTCCGTCACCTCCTCTCTTAATCTCTTGGTAGTTTGTGCCCTTTTAGTGGGTTTTTAAAAGAAGCAGAGGTCACTGTGAATTTAATCTTCCACTTTGGCTGAAAATCAAGAAAGGCGATTTTTAAGATGGGAGCTATCAAGTCATCTTGGATACTAACAGAAGTGATCTGTCAGGAAGAAGAAGCTGAAGCCCAGGAGTGAGGTGGCACAACTGAGGTAGCAGCAAGTCTCTAAGTAAAGGAGAGGGGAGGGCCTGTCCTGGGATGCAGGGAGCATCAGGTGGAGGAGCGGACTGAGACTGAAATCTGAGAACAGAAGACCAGATGTATAAGCATGGTCTCAGTTAAAAGCAAACCCATCAGGGAGCTGTGGCCACGGTTGGGTGGGGATGGAAGCTGTGCCAAGTCCCTTGGCCAGTCTGCAGGGCTGCGTGGTCTCCCTGCAATACTGTGCTGTTTACTGTGCCCAGTGGACACTCAACTACATAAAGGAGTCAGGGGTGTTTATGAGAAAGTGATCACAAGGCTGCCCTGTGAACTGCAGACTATGTGTGGCAAGGTCACCAAAGACACAGCAGGAAGGGGATATCTAAGAGAGGAGTCTTGGTCAACAAGCTCATTAGCACAGTCCTCCTGTCTGTACCTATTCTAGGTGAGTTTTAATGTTATTTTTTATGTTCCAAATTTTCCAGTTCTATAGTGAAAGTTGTTATCTTAATGTAATGCAGGAAAAAACCTGTGAAAAGCAAATAACCAATTCAGTATTACAAAGACTAAAAGACTTCAAAGTAAACAAAAATTTCAACAAAGTTCTTGTTATAATTATCTCTTAATTTCCTGCTCTTAGTATATAGTCTAAGGCCCAGGCCTGAGCTGGGCTAGGATGGGGCTCCGCCACCAGCCAGCTGTGGGATCCCCGATTCCCATCTGCCTAACAAAGTGGGCTTTCAGGAGCCCCAGCTTTGTCTAGGCACAGGCATCACACTGAAGCCAGAAGCCCATCTTCAGCTTCACTAAGTCAGACTGCCCTTCATCTTAATCTAAGGAAGTGTGGAAAGTTCTCAGAGAAGTGCAAATGGAAATCCAAGTTCTTCCAATGCCACCAATTCTCCTGGGCATCACCCACTGCAGATAAGCTCTGTACTGGCTCGTCACATCCCCAGGAATCCCACTGGAAGACCTGCAGGACTCAACCAGGATTGCAAAGGGAAGAAGAGCCATTTCTGTTCCAACTAGCTGAGTGCTCCTAATAGCTCCCTTCAAATCTGCAAAAGAGACCACAGGTGCCCTATAAAAAGCTGGCTGCTTTCACTTAACCAAGCCTTGGGGAATTCCCAGATCCCTACTACAGCCCTCTGGAACTGCAGTTTTGATGGTTCAAACACATTGTTTGTCTCTGCCTCTCCTCTGGCACAGAGCCAGCGACGCTGTGCTGCGCAGACAGGGTGGGTAACTCAGCCAGCCTGGCCCACCCAGGCATGCTTACTCATCTCCAGAACTGCAGTCCGATTCAAACTCAGGCAGAAGAATTTGGACAACACCAAAGTCTATGGGGAAAGAGGCCCAGCACATATGGGCTATTGTTTATATGCCTGCGTTCCAGGGGCCCTTCCCTTGGGGCTTCTGTGAAAATTAGATCCAGATTTGCACAATTACAACATTGGTTCTAAGCCAGGAAGAATCTGGATGTCCTCTAAGTAACAGCTTCAGTTTGGGTGGGGGGGGGGGGGAACCCAATCCAATAAAGATAGAAAAAAGACTACCTAGGTCCCCATTCCCATACTCAGTCCCCATTCCTCACATGTTGAGTGGCCTCAGGATGACCCTCTAGGGCCCTGATGTGTCCCCTATGCCCACTGTTATCATCTCCTGGGCCCTGATGTGTCCCCTATGCCCACTGTTATCATCTCCTGCCCCTGCTCCTTCACTCCACTTGGTTCCAGCCACACTGGTCTCCTTGCTGCTCCATGAACATGCCAGGCACATGACCCAGAGCCTCTGCTCCAGCTCCCCTTGCGCCTGGAGCCCTTCACCCTCCAACACCCATAGGGATCGCACCTGCACCTCCTCCATGGCTCTGCTCGATTGTCCCCTTCTCAGGGCCTGCACTGATTGCTCATTCAAAACTGCAACCAGCACTTCTACAGCCCTCCCCATTCTTCATTTCCTCCACAGCGGCATCGCCACCTGATATACCTATAATATTTATGTTTTGTAACTGCCACAAGGATGTAAGCTAAAGGCATTCTAGAAGAGTGCCTGGCACATTACAGGCATTCTACAAATACTTGCTGAACAAAGGAAAGAACAAACAAGGTCTTTGTTCAAACAATTTGTTAAGTAAGAACTCTCCTCTTCAAATGTAGTTCGGGATTGGGTTAACCACCAGACCTAAATAGACATGTGCACGTGCTCCCAACTCCTCCCCACCATCTCCCAAGGAGTGTGCTGATGAATTCACTGCCCTGCTGCAGGCAACAGGCCCTGGAAGGTCAGTGGGCTGTGCCTGTATCGCCCTCCCACCAGGATGACTGAGCTCAGCACTCCATGATGGCTACTCGGGGCTGCCAAAGAAACCACTTAATGGGAAAAGCAGACACTGAGTTCAGAGCCCACCTCACAGTATCAAGGTAGCTCCCACTTATCCTATCCTTGTGAAGTCAGAAGCCTTGGCTCAAATCCCAGTCTCACCAATAACCACTACAGTCACGTCATCTCCTTGAGCCTTGAAAGTAGGTAGAAGAGTACCTACCTCACAGGGTATGTGGGGACTGAACAAGGTATTCAAACCAGCATAGCTGACATAAATCAGGCACTTTATAAAAATTAGCTACTCATTTGTATTCCATGCAAGAATTCTGAAAACTTTTAGAAAATATTATAATAAGTTTTTAAAATACAGATCTCTTAAGGATAAATTTAAAAGGAGTCATTTCAAGGTAGTTTTGCAAAACTCGAGTCACAGCCACAAAGAGGTGTCCACATGGCCTGGATATACCATCCTGGCCACAGTGCACACTCATCACTTCCTGGCTGGTGAGTGCTGCTGGAGCATGAGACAAAGGCATGTGTCTGTGCAGGGCACACTAACAACTGGCCCACTACTGGACAGTTTGGTCAGGTTGACTTTGGAGAATAAAGGTTATTGGAAAAGGAGAAAACTACCTCTTTTTCAACCTTGGTTCTACAAAAGCCAGTAGGGAAATTGTGCATTTATCTCTGGCATTGTTATTGCACCCTTGTACAGGTCCCTTATGTGACATAAAACCAGGCCATAAGGAAGAGCAGCAAGACATGTGGCTTCATATGCAAGCAAGACTTTAAAAAATCAACTGACATTGAAAGAATCACTCAATTTAAAGACATAACTTCTATAAAGGCATTGAAAGAAGCACTACTTACATGGAACCATGTGAAGATCTTCTCTCTCTCTGTACACAGCCCTGTAAACAGGTTAAAAAATTATTATAATTATAAATCACAGGTAGAAAATAACAGAAAGAATGCTCTATCACCTTAGATATCAAACTTCATCAAACCAAAGTAATTTATTTTAAAAATGTAATCATAAATCAATTATTTGGAACGCAAAGGCAGCTTTCCAGAAAAGAATTCCACAAAATGTAGTTAGATTCAAAATTGAGTCTGGAACTTAAAAGGTATCAATAAATGCTCAGAACCCCAGACTCCCCTAAACTGTGACGGGACCAAGGAGGCCTGCTTATGCAAAAACTTCAGTGACAGGTAAACAAAGCTTCTAGAGGATCCTTCAGGCAGCCCAAAGGCCTCAGTCCAGTGAGGACTGAAGAGGATGGGGGGTGTCAGAAATTGCCAAAGGAGGACATCCACTTCCATCCATGACAGAAGAAGAGGGATTGACTCTCCTGACTCAACTGAGAAACAGACAAAAGACCTGAGACAAGGTGTTCAGACACAGGACAACAGGCATCATGAGACATGATCCCTAAGGGAAAGAAAAAACGTAATGCATCCTGATCACGCAGCCTGCACTGTGTGGAGCTTCCAGGCCACAGTGCAAAAGAGGGGCCCAGGCAAAGAAAGAGGAGTCCTGAAAGGAAGAAATAGCGTTGAGATTCAGGGAGGCAACAACAGCTAGAATAAGCAGGGCAGAGTACCAGAAAGGAGAGCAGCACAGAGAAATGTTCCAGAGACCTGTATATGTGTGTGTGCGGGGGAGGAGGGGACGCCACCTCAGTCTTCACCTGGACACAGATTAGCACATGTGAATGAGCAAGCTATCTGCAACCAGAAAGAGCAAACAGAAAGAAGTAGGACAATAGGAGCTGTAGCTCCCACAGCTCTAGGAATGTGTTTATTCCCAAGGACCAGACCAGGGAACCCTGTGACACAGGGGCCACAAGGCTGAGCTCTTGGCAGAGTGTTGCCTCAGCAGCAGAGTAACATTAGCACCAGACGAAACTAGTGTACTAAACTAGTAACTGCCTGACAATGTCCAACAGCAAGCCACCAAAGGATCTAAACTTTCTAACTTAAATGCATTCCAACAAGACAGTTTAAAATATTTAAAAGAATACAGAACCCAACAACATAAATTGCACAATGTTTTCCACCTATTCAAAAATTAACAAGCATGTGAAAAAACATGAAAATATGTCTCATAATGAGAGCAGCTGATCAATAAGAAAATGATCCAGACACTACACACAAAAATTATTAGGATACAAGGTCTTTAACATAGCTGTTATAAATGAGTTATATATGTTTAAGAAAACAGAGGAGTAGATAACATGCTATGGAGAGACATGAAAAGCATAAAAAACAAAAACCCAAGTCAAACAACTAGAAATAAAAATATTATATATCTGGGATGAAAAATACACTGGATAGGATTAATGTTACATTAGTCAATAGGAAAGATTAGTCAATAGGCAGACAAAGCATACATGCATATAAAAACTATCTAAAATGAAAGAAAGACCCTTCTTCTCTAAAAAAGAAAAGAAATATATGTACAATTGAGGATTTAAGAAGGGAATCCATGTTGAGACAAAAACATATTTCAAGAAATAATACAAAAATTGATAAAAATTGGATAAAAAAATTATGGTACATTTACACAATGGAATACTACGCAGCAGAAAGGAAAAAAGAACTACTACACTTTGCAACAGCATGGATGACACTAGAGAGCATTATGCTAAGCGAAATAAGCCAGGGGGCGAAGGATAAATACCATATGGTCTCACCTATAAGCGGAACCTAACCAACAAAACAAAGATGTAAGGGAAATAAGACCAGCAACACTGAAAGAAAAAAGAAATGAACAGAGACAAGAGAGAAGGAGGGAGGGGTGGATGGGGGAAAAGGAAGGGAAGAGGCAAGTCAAGGAACATATAGCAAGGACTCATGGACAAAGCCAAAGTGGGGAAAGACTGAGGGAGGGAGAAGGGAGAGGGGGGAGGGGGGCAGGGGAAAGTGGTGAGGGGAAGTCAGAGACAAATGTATTTGAAAAAATAAATTAAAAAATATATATATATAATTGATAAAAATTATGAACCTATAGATCCACGGAGATCAACAAACCCCAAGCAGAAAAAACATGAAGGAAATTAAACAAAGGCACATCATAATCAATTTACCTAAAGAGAAAAACTTAAAAGCAGCCAGTGAATAAAGAATCATGGTGCTCATTTCAGCAGCACATATACTAAAATTGGAAAATACAGAGATTAGCACGGCTCTTGCACAAGGATGGCCGCAAATTCCTGGAGCGTTCTGTATTTTTGATACTTTTATAATAAAAAGACAACTTGCATCCTAGCTACTTACTAAAGGTCCCACAATGTTGCATTCTAACCTTTAAGGTAGATAGTCTTATCTCCACTGGAAATATGAGATGACTGAGGCTCAGGAAGGTTAGATGGCCTGTTCAAGGTTGATCATCCCAGGATAGGAGTTTATGTTTAAAACAGGGGTCCTCTCTACTGCAAACTCACTCCACCCAGAGATCTATTTTTCTCAAAGTAGCTGGAATAGAAGGGGCTATCAGGAAGAGAGGTTTACTGCAAGTGTTCGTCCCCATTTCCACACTTCACCTTGGTTACCAGGGCCGGAGTGGAAATAGATCCAGTGAGGTGCACAGCAGCACATGGAAAGTTCTAGCACTCAGCCCCTTCTCAGTCACTTCAAGCCCTGTCTCTACCAGCAGTCCTGAGGAGAAAAACCAGACGCTTTATCACTTGATGGGGTATTTCTTCCTGTCTGAGATTGTGGAAAATATAAAAATATATAAAGACACATTGTTTAGACATTGAACATATTGCCTTGAAACACACACGAAAGAAAGCAAGAAAGAAAGCAAGAAAGAAAGAAAGAAAGAGAGAGAGAGAGAGAAATATTATATACAGAGAAACAAACACAGGCATGGGGGACAGAGGACTTTTCAGAAACAATGCAAGCCAGAAGTTAATGAAATTATATCTCTAAAGTAATGAAGGAAAAAACCTCACCAACCTGAAATACCATATGCAGTGAAAATGACTTTCAAATACAAAGGCAAAATGAAGATTTTTTCTAACAGACAAAAGCTAAAATAATTCATGTCCAACATACCTGAACTAGGAAAACCATTAAAGTCAGCTTACCACACAAAAGGAAAATAATATCAGAAGGAAATCTTGACTTACATAAGAAATGAAAAGCACTGGAAACAGTTCATGAATAAATAGAAATGCCCATTTCCTTAATTTTTAAGGTTGTTTTAAAAGATAATAGACCATTTAATGCAAAAATAATAACCATGTATTGGAGAGTTTATAAAAATGTAGAAGTAAAATGGCATGACAACAATGACATAAAGGGCAGGAAATACTACGTAGAAGTTACTGTTGTTAGGTTTAATACTATAAGTAAACGAGTATACTATTACTTAAAGACAGTGAGTCATAAGTTAAGGACATATATAGTAAATTCCAAAGCAACCTCTAAAAACAGAGATATAACTAATAAGCTAGGAAAGGTGATAAAATTGATCATAAATAATCCAAAATAAGCAGAAAAAAGAGGATCTAATTGAGACAAATAGAAACCAATAGCATATCATATCAATAATTGCATCAAATATAAATGGTATAAAAATCCTAACTGAATTTAAAAAATTTTTAAATTAGATAAATAAAACCCCTCACACAGATAAAATTCAGGTGGCTCATAAACATGCACAGCAAATCATTCTACTTCTTAAAGATATTAAGGCAGAAAAGCCAAGGTCTGCTTGCTAGTACTGCACAACCTTTTAATACAGAAAAGCTTAGAATACTGAGATATATCTGAAAAGACTAAGTACCCACATTGGGCTACCATAGCAGAATTTAACTTCAGCTACTCAGATTGATAAGTTAGTAATAAAGACTTGGTCCAAGAACCAGAGCATCAAAAGAAGGAAGCAACAGCTACAAACTTGGCTGTGTCTGGCACTAGAAGCACCAAACCAAATAATTTCAGTAAAGGAGAAGGAGACCTCTTTACCTGTAACTTCTATAAACACTCATCCCATGAGTCCTATCATTATGATCATGAACCAACTAACACTGCTTGTATCAAGCAATCTGGAGGGGCTGGTGCCTCTGTGTGGAATGCATCATGGGATTCTCAGCCTCATGATCTCCAACAGATATGTCTGGGTGTCTCTGATCCTCCTTGGGCCTCCATTCCCTATGACACAGATCAGTTTATACACTGTATTAATTACCTGCAGACGATCAACCCAACAGTCTAGATCAGTACCTCTTCCCATAGTGTTCTGGTTGAAGGGGTATGGCTAGACTGATCTTCAGTGTGATGACTAACACATCCACAGTGCTTGAGTAAGGTCTGTGATCCAAATTCTGCCAAACTGAGAGACATTTCCAATCTGGAAATGGGTCAACTCCAATCTAAATAGACCAGTTATTTATCATTTTCTATAAGAAGAAATCCCTTTAACTTTCATCATTGCCTGAAATTTCTGTCCTCTGAGATTCCTGAGGCAAATTTCAGTATCAAGGACAGTCATTAGTGCCTTAGGAGGAAGCAGAAGCCAGCTAGTTTTCCTTGAATCCTAATCTGTCCCAATTGACCTTAGCACCATGAAACCACCCCAACTAAAAAACAATACCATGTAAAAATTCCTGTCCCCCAAGGATCGCCTTTATTTATTTATTTTATTATTTATTTATTTATTTTTAGAAAGAGGTGAAGGGAGGGCGAAAGAGAAGGACAGAAACACCAATGTGTGAGAGAAATATTTATGTGGTTGCTTCTCACACACCCCCAGCTGGGGACCTGGACTGCAACTTAGGCATGTGCCCTGAATTGGGAATCAGACTGGCGACCTCTTGGTTCACAGTCTGGCACTCAGTCCCTAAGCCACAGCAGCCAGGGCCCATCTTTATTTCTTACACAAAGAAAGAAAGAAACAACAAACATTTAAGAGTATGACATCAGCAAGATTGGTGAACTAGGAGGTCTCAGCGCTTGCATCTCCAGAAAAAATAATGATTAACAACTACTGCTGATGAAAATAACTCTGAGTGAGCTCTGAAGTATAATGCAGGAGCTACAGCAACCCAGTGGAGCACAAAAATAAAAGATGGCTACACAGAAAAGCATAGGCAACATTTTACTTGTGTCAACCCATCCCCAGTCTCTCATAGCTTGCTACCAAAAGGGATCTCCTCAGCTGTGACTTTCTACTTTGGAGGAGCAGAAGACCCCAGCAGCTTTCACCACCAAGGACCCGAGCTGCCCTCATGTTTGTCAGGGTCCAAAAACCCAAAGTTTTGCCACTAAGGACTCCCTCGGTCTTTGCCTTTGCTAATCTCAGCTGATGGAGCTTCCTAGAATCTATACCACTGAGTCCTCCAGAGAAGGAGCCAATGCTGCAACCCCAACTACAGCAGTCATAGCCCAACGTATGACCACGCATACCCTCGCTGGTTAGGTATGAATAAAATGGACATTGATGGGGTTCAAACAAAGGTTTTAAGCAGGCCAAAAGGATTAAAGAGCCCCAAACAAGTCTGCTTTTTTTTTTTATCCTGGGTTGTACACATTTTGAAAGCCAAGATTCAAAGATTATAATAAGATATATGACCTGCAGTTGTTTCAAGCTATGATTAGAGAGATGAATCTAGATGAAGGTGGACAAAAGAACCAGGGTCCCTTGGCTCAACCCCTCACTGGGGACCCAAAGCCTTTGCACCAGAGAGGGTAAAATGGTCAGGAGGTGGAGAAGGGAAGTTTTTGGACTTCTTGACATGAGAGCCCCATGAATCATAGTACCCAAATCCATTGGTGAAGCCCTGGTGTGGACTACAATTAGACTGAGAGAATATAAAGGCTGTTCTCCCAAAAAAAGGGTTGATGGGCTTTATGAACGTTGGGATGTTTAAACAGATTTATGCAAATAGCTTGTGTCATCTTTACTTGAATTTTTTATGGGAATGGATATTCTATCTGGCTAGGGAATACTTACCTTAAAAAGTATTGTAAACCCAAACTCTGTTATTTATAAGAAACCCACTTGAAATATAAACATATACATAAAATAAGAGAAAAATGATGGGAAAAGATGTACCATGCTAACCCTAATCAAAAGGAAGTTTGAATGGCTATATTAACATCAGAAAAAGTAGGGCTCAGAGCAAAGAATATTATCAGAAGTTAAAAAAGGCATTACATAATAATTAAGGGATCAAAACAACTTGACAGGAGATCAGTAAGGGACATAGGAGACTCAACACTATCACCCACATTACTTAACTGACATTCATAGAGTACTCTGCACCAGCAATTTTCAACCATTTTTATCTCATGGCACACATAAACTAATTACTAAAATGCTGCAGCACACCAAAAATATATTTTTGTTTACCTGACCAGAAAAATAGGTATAATTTTGATTCATTCACACTGGATGGTTACTCTTCTGTTGGCTATTGTCAGTTTTTTACTTGGCAGTCTAAGGAAGGGAAAAGAGGTCAATGACCCTGAATAAATAGTGAGGTATTACCTGTTTTAAAAATTCTTGCGGCCTGCCAGTGTGCTGCAGCACATCAGTTGAAAATCGCTTCTCTACACAATAACACAATACACATGCTTTTCAAGTGATCATGGAATATTTTTAAAGACCATTCTAAGCCTTTAAAAAGTGCAGTAAAACTTTAAAAAAGTTGAAATCAGAAAAAGTATGATCCCTGATGGCTATGGAATTCAATTAGAAATCAGTAACAGAAATGTATCTTGAAAATCCTCCAAATATTTGAAAATGAATCGCACACTTCTAAATAACATATGGGTCAGGGAAGAAATCACAATAGAAATTAGAAAGAGTTTGACCCAAGTAAAAACAAAAACTAAGATAGCAAAATGTGTGGGATACAGCAAAAACAGTACCATGAGGGAAATTTGTAGCAATAAAGTGCCCACATTAGGGGGGAAAAGTTCTCAAATCAATAACCTAAGCTTCTCTTCTGCAAGGCTAAAGAAAACATCAGCAAAATGAAAAGGGAGCCAACCATATGGGAAAATATATTTGCCAATGATACATCAGATAGAGGTTTGATCTCCAAAATTTATCAAGAACTCACTCGACTCCACTCCAAGAAGACAAATGATCCAATCAAAAAATGGGCAAAGGACCTGGGCAGACGCTTTTCCAAGGAAGAGACACAGAGGGCCCAGAGACATTTGAAAGGATGCTTGGCATCACTAGCCATCAGATAAATGCAGATCAAAACCACAATG